TTGCAGCTTGCAGATGGACAAACAAGCGTTGCTTCGCACGGCGGTTTAGATTTGATGCGCCGTGCTTGCATCAGGCTACGCTCGCGAGCCTGAGTTTGCCTGGCACCTGGTCGGAGCGCGTACAACGCACTAGTAGGAACAATACAAATACAACCAATAGTAATAACAATAAGAGCTCCCATAACAATACCATTAGCAATAACAATAAAGACAATATAGCAACAACAACAACAATAAAAATAACAGAATATCATACCATTTAAGATTACAATAGGGTTTTCGCATGCTTTTCCCCTCGACGGAGGTCGTCCAGAGCATCCCACTGCCCACAGAGTCGCCCGACGGCACTTGATGCAGATACAGTGAGTTTTCCGAAAAGTAGGGGGTTCCTTGAACTGGATCCTTTTAAGGGTTCTTTAAAGGGATCTATGAATCTATAAAGGGTTTAGGGTTTAGAGTTTCCGAGAATGAGGGGTACCTTATTTTGGGGCCCTTATAATAAGGATCCTAGCCTTAGGGTACTAGAGTAGGGTCCCCTTTTCGATGCAAATACAGACCTTGGGTGAGGCCTCTTACAGTGGCAGTCCCTTCACAAGGACATTCCAGGGTATATGCATACTAAGGAAGGTTAAAGTAAAGGGTATAATGGACAAATCGGAAATTCTAGGGTATATGTATAGTCAGGGAAATCCTAGGGTCCTAAAACATCGGCACTAATCACTAATCCCTTGTGGTAAGTGCTACTGTAAGTTGGAAAATGCCAAGCATGAACATGACCTGCTTTCGACTTAAATCGTAAACCCTGGGCCCTGAGCCCTCACCGGTAAACCCCGACTCCATCCCAGAGCCAGGGTGATGGCGCAGCTGTCTCCGTTCCTCTCCGCCCCTGGATCGGCACAGCACATGGGGGGGTTTCGGGTTAAGGTTTGGGATTTAGGGCCTAGGGTTTGTTTAGGATTTATGGTTATTCGGGTAGCAGGTCAAAGATTCCAGGTTCCCTGTACGGAACGCGAAACGTGGATTGTAAGGAGACCCTGATGTCATAATATGTGGAACTACAGGGCTTGTGTTTTCCACATTCGTTCACAGTGGAGCCTCCACTAAGCCCTCGACCCTTAAGCCAAAACCCACGAACCCTTCCTTCGCGGTCCCTGGTTTGGGGTTTTAAGTCTCAGGACTCATCTGATGTCCGGGGGTCGGAGGTGTGGAGTGTAGGGTCAGGGTGCACGGTTTCGGGTGTAAAACACTGGGCCCTGACGAGGTGCAAAACCTGGCGCCATTGCGAGCCACCTGCCGTCAGCCGGCGAGTGCTGGGGAAGAGGCCTCCTGGTTGAAGTGTTCCTTGAGAATTAGACCCTACTATAGGGGCCTTAACAACTACCAATACTGTAAATACTGTACTATTTTGGGGGCTCCTTATTACAATCATAGTATTTTGGGCCCCCAAACCCTATTCACCTATTCTAATTATTAAGGCCCTTCGATTACTCTCCCAAACAGCTCAGGGTTTGTTGTTTAGAGTTTGGGGCTTGGAGTTTACCTGGCTCAGGTGTCCTCGCAGTGTGGCAACATCATGTGGTTCTAACATAGAGTAAAGAGAATCTTTTGTGGTGTGGCGCGATTGTAACTATACATGGACCATTGGCCCCGAAAACCTTTGGATCGCAGCAGTACCTGGCGGAAAGGAGTTCGGGCACCACCCTGGCCAAGCTCCCGGATCCTCCTGAATCCCACCAGTGTTTGGGGAAAAGCATTGTAGCAGTGATCCTGGATCCACCACTTGCGGGAAGGCACTTCTTGCCGTGTCCTGGTGGTGTTCTACAGGTCTTGTGGGGTATCCTAGTGGTCTGCTTGCGGTCTCCTGGTGGTCTCCTCGCGGTAGTCATGATCGTGATCGTCGTCGTGGTGCTCTTTCACGGTTTGGGATCCGTGATGGCATGTTTCTTTGCCGGGAAGTCTTTCTGCAGGGGTTAAGGGTTTATGTAGGGCTTGTGATGTTCCCAGGAGTCCTTGCGAGGACTCATGGAAGGATTTTTCATTTTCGAGGGGCTGGAAAACCCTAACACCCTGCAGAAGAAGCCTCTCTGCTCGGCACGGCTTTGCGTCCCCTGAACCCTAAATCTTAAACCCTAAATCGGGAGGCTTTCCAGCAGCTTCTGAAGCTGCCCGAGAAGAGGTGGGGCTCCCTAATTCCTAAACTCCGGACCCTGACGCCCTAAACTCCAAAAACTGTTGCACCCGAAACGCCAAGGCCCCAGGCCACTAACCCTTCACCCCAAAAGCCCCTAAAAGCCCCCAAGATGCCTGGAGGCGCCACCAGATCCAACGGGTGGATGTGGAGAGATCAGCAGAGCAGTGGGCGGAGCTCACGAAAGGAAAACAAGATCATAAATGGCATATTGCCAGCAAGCGTCGTTTCATGTGCGATATTTCCGGCGAATGGGTGCTCTACACCCCAACGGGGTCAATGTTTGACGGCCTGAAGGAGTACCTGCTCCTCACCCGATTCCTACCTGCGGAGCCCCTGCCCTCGAAGACCGAGGACATCCTGTTTGGCAAATCTTCCAAGTGACCAGCCTGCGGCTTTTGAATCCGCTTAGCAGTCAAGCCGGCACAGCCGCAGAGAAAGAATCGCATCGAAGTCCTCGAGGCCACATGGCTCGAGGCCCCAATGCAAGACCATGCAAGCTTGAAGCATGGGAGTGAGTGTAGGCAGCAGCAGAATCCGTGTGATTTAGTGCGGGTGTCATGCACCGCCTTGAAGTGGGGCGTAAAGTCGCAGTTGAAATTTTGGCATGTTGCAAGCATGCAGCTCGGTGCACACCACTCGAAGACCCCAGTGCTTGGGCAATGACCCGGCAGACACATCGACGGACGCTGAATCACAGGACTTGACCCTGTTAGCAGGCGCACCGCAGCCTTTCACAGGACCCGCACCTGCATCTCGCATAGGCCGTGGGAGCCTAGATCAGAGCGGGTTCGGGGCTATCATGTTCCGGGGTAAGGGTGCAAGACTTATAGGGTTCAGGATTTAGGGCCCGTTATGATTACAGGTCAGGGTTTAGGGCCTTTTCGGGCCCATAACGGCATGCCTATGTTGCAGGTGCCTTTGTGACAACAAGCATACGGCATGGAGTATGCGGATCGTTCTCCAGATATTCACTACATTTGGGACTCAAGACCTCTCAGGGAGAATGGGCCCTGTATACCCCTATGTTTGACCTCAAGGAGTATCTACTCCTTAGGAGAATCTTCGTTTGCGGAGGTGCCCTCGAAGACCGAGGACATCTTATAACTTTTCTAGGCGCAAGTCTTGCAAGTCTTCCACGTGACCAGTGGGCGGCTTTTGAATCTGCCTGGTCTGGCACAAACTGTCAGATTGCGCAGAGAAATCATCGAAGTCCTCGAGGCCGCATGGCTCGAGGCAACAAAGGAAGCTCATGCAAGAATTGAAGCATGGGAGATGACGCCGCAACAGCACACGCGGCGTTACGAACTGGCTGGATGTAGTGAGGGTGGCATGCACCGTGTAGAAGTGGGGCGTGAACTTAGAAGTTACCATTTTGGCATGTTGTAAGCTTGCAGCTCGGTGCACAATGACCCGACGGACACATCGACGGACGGTGAATCACAGGACTGTCGCAGGACCCTTCTCGCAGAGCCAAAAAGCCTCGCAGCCTTTCACGGGAGCCACACCAGCAGTTCCAGAGGAGCCTAGTTTACAGTGGGTGCAAGATTAATGGTTAGGGGTTAGGGTGCAGGGTTTAGTTTTCAGGATGTAGGATTTCCGGTAGGGTTTTGGGTTTAATCAATATCCTCGCACTGCTGTGCTTGCAGTCTGCAGCCTTTGCAGCTGTTTCGGGTACTCCGCAAACCCTAAACCCTAAACCCCTAAACCCTAAACCCCGAAACCCTAAACACCTTAGCCCCTAAACCCTAACCCCGAAACTATAAAATTCCTACCTACCTTGTCAGCCTGCAGGCCCGACGACTTCAGAAAGCGCTTTCGGAAGCTGCCGGCACTCTCAATGCCACGGTTCAGGCAGCCCCTCAAGCTGCGGGGCCGATTCTGGATTTTTTTTTGAGATTATTTGTCTTCCTTTGCTTCTTCTGATTTTTATTTTTTATTATTCGTAGCAGTATTATCAGTTTTTAGTATCTTATTCGTAGTATTTTTCTTATTGTTTTCTTATGCTTACTCTTATGATCATCTTCATTCTCATTCTTATGTTAGGTCCTGCTCTCATTAGTGTTAGATCTGTTAGATGAATACCACAAGTGTTGTATTTTTACTGAGACTGTTACTGTTTGGATCAAGGATTTTGGCTCCAGTGGACCACCTGTGAATACCTGTGACATGAAGGCTACGCTCACTTCGAGATGGGATCTTGTTGGTACGATGTGAGGCAGTGCTGAGATAATTTGTCTTGGTCTATTGGTGAGTGTGTGTGTGTATCTAGAATCTAGAGCTCTATCAGTGCATATGGTTTAGCATTTTTAGTCTTCTTCTTCGTCATATTATTACTATGTGTTTATGCCGAGTGTTGCCTGTTGCGATGGCAGGAGGAGTACTCCAAGCTCCTTGTCTGCCTCGAGACAAGCAGAGAGAAGATCTGACACTGAAGATCCAGGGTGTGTATATACCTATATATATATGTATATATATATATATATATATATATATATATATATATATATATATGTATATATATATATATATATATATGTATATATATATATATATATACATATATATATGCACATGCACATGCACATGCACATGCACATGCACATGCACATGCACATGCACATGCACACAAATATATATATATATATATATATATATATGTATGTATATATGGGGTACCATATATATATATATATATATGTGTATAATATGCATCTATTTCTATGTGTGTGTATAAATTTGTATTAGTATTGTTCTACATTTTGCTGTAGCAGCGGATAGCATCCATCTGTTGATCCTCTCTAGGCTGGTGATGCTCCTCTACGCAGAGTCCGAGAGGCTCTCCCTGGCACTTGCAGGCCGGGAGTCAAGGGTAGCCGAGTGCAGCGGAGCCTAAATCGAGCCACTGCTCGCTTGGTGTTTGGAAGGTTTCAGGCAATACATAGATGTTGTTGAACTCGCAGCCCCGGTTCGAAGGCATGCAGTATGCCGCGCAGTCCTTCGCCGCCAAATCCTTCCTCGACTCCGTCGATGTTTTGATCTCTGTGCCGGGACCCACGATACTCATGCAAAATGTGCCATAAATTCTCACTCTGCAGGGTCGATCCCCATTCCGGTACATAACTCATGGCACGCACGACTATGGCTTTGATGTCCTTACTTTTTTTGAAGCATCCTTAGACTCCTTAGACTTCTCGTCGCCGGGCCCAGGCTAGAGCCTCTCACGGCAGCGTTACCGAAGATTGACAAAGAGGACGGGCGAAAGAAAGTCTCTCTCCCTCCTACTAGCAATAGTTGTGTGTTCTGTTTACGTACGGTGTGTTGTTCCCGTCCGGACTGGCACCTGCAGTGCTTCTTGCAGGGCTGTGGATTTGCAGTGTAGGCTGTGGAAACTTGCAGCTTCAGTGAGTTTGGAGCATGTGCAGGCGATGGAGAGTCTCTCAAACAGCACCTTGGCATTTTGAAGCCACGCGGTTTTGTTCGGCTACCCGAATCAATAGCAACCTTCAACTCGATCGCCTGGCTTCTTGCTGCTCTTCAGTTTTTTTGGTCATGCGGTAGGCGTGCTTACGCGTGAAGAGGCTGCATGAGGAACGGATGAGCTGATGGCTTGAGATGGAACTCCATGATGCGGACGTTCAAGCGTCGTATTTTACTGAGCTACGAAGACGGCTAGCGTTACTCGAGTTGTTTAGTACGGGAGGTGTTGCCATGCTCTGAGGCACCAAGGAACTCCAGCGCCTCTTCTCTGAGATGGAGCTCGCGGTGCAGTCCATCCAGAGCTTCCTGGAGGTCGGTAGCCTTCTCGGATGGGTTTACAGGTGGCAATCTTGAAAGTGGAAGCTTTTCCAAGCCCTTTCAGCATGTAAGCCCTCGGACGTCGGAACACATGGTAGTGGGTTCAGGGTTTAGGGTGACGAAGTGGGGGAGGTGCTGGGCACGGAGTATGAGACCTTCAGGCATGCCGTCGCGGCCTCAAGCCATGCTTGTGTTTACGTTTCATGGTAGCTTCCAGAAGCCCCCAACTCCCGCAACTACTTGGTAGGAGAACTATATTTATAACCCATATTAGGGGACTTTATTATAACCCCACTTATAACTACCCATGAACCTCCAAGTAGACTTCGGGGGTGCGCTTCGATCCCCCAACTTATCCTAGCAAGATTAAATCGCCACCCCTAAACTCCAGAAGCCCTCTGGCGTACATGTTTCAGGGTCTAGGGGTCAGGAGTTTAGGGTTTGAGGCTTGGCAGCCCTGGAGACCCTGAAGCTGACAACCCTCCAAGCCTGAAGCTTGAAGCTCCGGTGCAAAGTCTGGAGCCTTTTCGTACCAACTCCCAAAGCCGCCTCCAGAGATCCTCAACACCTAAACGCCCAAGTCCTAAGACTCACAAATCTTAAGCTGACCTTTCGGCTTAAGGGAACCTACGGCTCCGAAAGTAACTCAGGCAAGCGCCCTGGCCAACCACAGCTTGGCAGCAGGTTTTCGGAGCAAGCTCCCGGCTCCGTCGCCCATCTACACTGGCTTTTTCAGGGTGCATGAGCTTTGGGGGCCTTTCTGGGGGGTTTAGCGCGCTTGTTTGTGTTGCTGCAAGAAGCCGCAAGAACGGGCCGGGTAGCTGGGCTATCAACAGACGGACGGTTCTTGAGTCTTGGAGCTTACAAGAAGGATCCTGGAGTGTTCTTGGGGATGACGCCAGCATGGTCAAGGACACGACCATGGCACGTCAAAGACTGCAGCAACATCGGACCGCGGTTTAGGCTGAAGGAACATTCGTTCAAAAACGGTAGCCGTTCGTATTCGCCGCGTGGTCCTACAAGGCCCAACCAAACAGATGCCGTGAACCTCTCCAAGTTCGTGGAGTCCGCGTGCCTGGGCTGCAAAACTCGAACGGTCTTCTTCTTCTTCAGCTATTAGACTACATACAGTAATATGTGTATGCAGATGTACATATTCAGGAAAATTCTGCTCATTCGCAAGTCTGTCCGTCTGCCTGCCTGGCTGGCTGACAGGCTGGCTGTCGCCGCTGTGTGTCTGTCCTTCTGTCCGTTTCGTTCGTCCTTTTGTGTGTCTGCAAGCGCGTGTGTGTGTGTGTGTGTGTTGTATGTGTGTGTGTGTGTGTGTGTGCGTGTCTGTGTGTTTGTCTGTATGTATGCATGTATGTATGCATACATATATCTAGGTATGCAGGAATGTATAGGTATGTATGTACGAATGTATGCAGGTATGTATACATGCTATACATGTGCTATCGTACGCGTCTAGCGCAATCTATATGTGGGAGTTTCCGAAACCTAGGCGTACCTTATTTTGGGGTCCTTATAATAAGGATCCTACTATTTAGGGTACTATATTAGGGTCCCCTATTTTCGAAAACTCCCATGTATACGACCCACTGCAACAATCTTGTACTTTCGTGCAGGCATTTCCAAAGCCTGGTTGCCTTGAACCTGGTGCGAGACTATGCATCGCTAGGGGCGGAGGAGCAGAAAGCAGTCCTCGAGGCATTTGGCTCGCCTGTTTGCACACACACACACATGTGTGTGTGTGTATGTATATATATATATATAATATAACATATATTATGTTATATATGATGTGATATAAATATAAATATATATATATATACATACATACATATATACTGTTATGCATATTCACTTATTTGTTTTCTACGTCATCATACATTTTTGCATATACACATACATCTACATATACTTCTGCACATACGTACATATGTTTATATGCATATGTATATACATATGTATATGAAAGTAAACAAGTATGTATGTGCATACAGATGTAACATATACATATGTATATATGTGTGTATAGATATATGTATACATATATATATATATATGTGTATATATATATATATGTATATGTATATATGTATATATATATATATATATATATATATACACATACATACTTTTGGGGTGCAGGTCTTGAAGGCTGGCGGCTAGCAGGAACAGATGCTGTTTGAGCACGGTGTAATTTCTGGTTGTACACACTAGCTGAATCCTGCTTGCTTGAGCTTCTTGGGTCAGCCGTCAGGACTTGGCAACACACGATGTGTGTAGTAGAGGTTGACTGCACCCGCTATGTTTCTGCACAGTCTCGTTGCATCAGCCACAAGTGCAGGCCGTCAATTCTGTGGTGGGATCGGCCCGGACGGTGGTTCACGAAGCGCGGCGATCGAAGGACGCCCTCCGGAGTAATCTTGATGTTGCACTTTGCAGTGTCTTGTTCCGGACGCAGAGATCATGCGTGTGCAATGACACGCCTCACATTACGGGAGCCCACGGTCCTGCGTGGAGCGCTTGCTCAACCAATTAGTCTTGCAGGCCTTGTTCGTATCTGCCATACTTAGTTGTCGAAGAGCCTTCTCGCCTGGCATGGGCTTTCCGGACGCGAGTCCTGCAGAGTGCCCTTTCGCGAGCAACACTACCTTGTCGCACAAATAGTGAACTTCTCATTCGCTGGTTGGCGCTTCCTTTGTTTTGCAGTTCTGGTGTCCGTGATTTTGGCAGCATTCGCAGGGGCCAGCGATTATTGATTATTGGACATGTCGGAGCTATATACTATACAAAGCTTGTGGCAACATGCTGTAAGGTTCGGGTCGTATGATTCCGGTTCCAGGAGCTTGTTGGGAGTTGGTTCCAGGCCGTGTCACATCTTGTCACTGCGATCTTTGAGGACACTATCGTCAAGGATTCGACCTCAGTAGCCGCTTGGCCAACAAACGCTGCCTCTCCAAGCGGGTGAGATCGTGCTGAATCGAAATATTTGTGGATAATCCATGGATAGTCTTGTTCTCATCAACATCCAAGGTTAGGGTGGCCGCATCCAAGGTGAAGGAGCTTCGCAGTTACATGCCTCTAAGTGGGGAGAACATGTGTTTGTGGAGATGAAACTGCAGGGCCAATGTAGAGATTCAGGAGCAGTTTGCGCTTGTGGCCACAAGTGCTCTGGTCGCCGGCACAGATGCGAAGGACTCCCGTCACCTACATGCACGGTAATTATCGCACCTGGGTCCTCTAGGGCTATTTCTATATAATGCTTAGGGATACGCATGTCCGTCCCACTTCGGCACGACCTGGGCAGTTCGAAGAAGGGTTAGAAATACGGCAGCAACTGTATCAGTGAATTGGAAGAAGTTGGAGAGCTCCGGCTCTCAGATGAGCAGCTCCACTGCTGAGCACTGGCCTCAGATCTCAACCCGCACAATTCGTCCCACTGCGATTGCCTGGCCCGCAGGACGCACTGAACTATGCATCCTCCATGTATCTGTACGCTGCAGGTGCCGTGGGCACGTGGCAGTGGCATTCCGGGGTAGACCCTTTGACTGCGAGAATTCTCAGTCCCAGCCCGTTTCGGGGCCCTGGACGGACCCTGCATATGTGTGTGTAGCTTGCAGGCGGCTGCGTGGGGTGCGCCGTCCTCATGGCCCTGGTGGCTTTTACATATGCATCTCGGACCCTGCAAAGCTGAGGTCTCCATTGAGCCTCCTTGGTAGGTTTCCCTTCTTGGCCATGGGTGCAAAAAGCTTGGTGGCTCTGAGGCCTGCTATTTAGAATACATCTACGAGAACCAGGGCATCGCGAGAGTATACGAGATCGCTGCAAAGGAGCGACAAGGCTTGTGCAAGCAATTCGGGGGAAGTACCCAGCTGTGCTACAGCTCACCGCCGGTGATGGATGAATGCTGAAGTGGGCATGAGCTAGTTGCATTTTCTCAGAGCATCTCTGCTTGAGAGGCTGCTGCTGGTGCTGCGGCGGGCTGAGATTCCTCCTTATCATGATCGTATACTGGGTCCCCCTAAAAGTCTGTAAGACTTGGATCCGAAGGGGAATTTCCCAAAGCAAAGATGCATCCGCAACACGAAACGTCAGAAGTCGAGCAACCCTAACCCTAAACACTAAACCCTAAACCCTAAACCCTAGGCATCGACTCCATCGGGCACTTTGTGACCTGGTGGCAGCTTGTACGTTGCGACGGATGCTTATCGAAGCTTCTACTTCGCTGCTGCGTATGGCAAGTACAGACGACCGCGGGCAGGTACATGTCGTTGGCTTCTACTTGCTGATTTTGCTCCAAGATGCTGTCCCCTGGCAGATCCTGGATGCCTGCCCCCAGCCGCCCTTGTGTACTGCGTTCGAGTCGTTGCTCTTAGCACGCTTCTCGTCGAAAGGTCTCGATACTGCTCGTGGTGGCCTCAGATGGAGACTCCACCACTCATAACTTGTGCTGTTGCAGGCCTTTTCGCTCTGGCTCTGACGACCACGTGGCAGTAGCAGTAGTCGTCGTGGTTGCGGCCGTCGTCTTCGTCGTAGTCTTCGAAGCAGCCATAGTCACAGTTGTGGGCCTCTAAGAACAGCTCGTCTGACGCACTGCAGCACGGCTTCAGACTCGTTGAGATCGCTTTTCAGGTGCTTGTGGCCCTGTTCCTCTGTGTGGTCGGAAACGTTCAGCTGGGCCTCCAAATCGGCTGCGACTTTGCCCCCATGCTCTCGGACAACGCGCCACTGGGACTCTGCTTATAGGGCTTGTGCATAGCCACGAACATGAGCTGTACTGGGCGACCCTCATGAGAAGGAGCTTTCCTTTGAATCCAACGGGCTCTTTAGCCACAGCTGTTGCGTCTAAGGGCCTGCACTGCATCGATGGGAAATTTCAGCACAGCCTTGCAGCGGGATATCCTGAATGCCAAGGACCGTCGACGGCCGTTGAGAGCACAAGCGTTCAGCAGTTGTCACGTTGCGAAGTTTCGTGTCGGTTCGCAACAGCACGAGTGCTGCAAGCAGTCGCGAGAGGATTGCGAAGCTGCTGGAACTTTGATCTGCGAAAGCGTAGCAGGCCGGTTTCCTGGAGTACCCATGTGTCGTGATATCGAAGCCTTCCTGGAAGCTTGCGGCAGCGAAGGCAACCCCGGTATGATACGGCTCACGATGCTGCTCGGCGGCATGATCCTGGCATATAAAGTCCTGGTTGTCATGGCATGCACCATGCTGCCTCTTCCGACATAGGCTGCGTAGGGTTTCTAGAATTCACGCGGGTGTAGCTGTAAATCTGGATCCCGAAATGGTGGGACTCGTCTGCAGTGACAACTGGTAAGCGAGCACAGCGATCTTGCTACAAGTACCTGAAAATAGTTTGAGGGGAGTTGCGGGTATGTGCGAGGATTTTAGAAGATGTGTTCATTCTTGAAGCATTCATCGTGAAGCGTGTCTGAGTATCCATGGTTTCGGTCCCAATCCAAGACCCACCAGTATTCAGGATTACAGTTCCAGCCAGGATACCTACACCTTCTAAGCTGTGAGCAATGACATGCAATCCTGCTTCTTTCCAGCAGCGCCAGCACTCCTTGCCCTTGAAGTCACTTACTACTTCCCGAAGCCTTGATCCGTACAATCGTCGTGGCAGCTCCAAGTCTTCAGCTCCGCATAGCACAGGATAGCTGCAGCTGTGGGTGCGCTGGCATCATGCTGCATCCCACGCCGCCTTATCGAAACTTGGCCTGTGCAGGGTCAGCACCTGCAATAAGTTTGAAGACTTCGCTGTTGGAGCCCGTTTCTATGCCCCGAACCCCCAGCTACAACCCCAGCGTGCCGACGCAAGCTCATTTGCAAATTGTGTTGCTTGAGCTCGACTCCTGTCGCCTTCTTTGATTCTGTTCGGTGGGGCTTGAAATGATCCGAAAGTTGGCAGTGCAACGCCGAGGCTCTGTCCCTGAGCGCTCAGCAGAGCATCGAGACTGCCCAGGCCAGGCTCAAGCGCTGTAGTCTTCGACCGAGTAGCCCCGGAGCAAATTTAACTACGATACGCTGCAAGAGCAGTAGCATATCATACGGACGGTACTGGTAATTTCACCAGTTATATCGTATTCAATATTGTACGCAAAAGCTCAGATGCAGCAACGCTGGGATTTCAACACAGAGTGCGCACAACATGCAGCACAGAAGAGTCTCTGGAGAAGGCGGCGCCGAAATCCTGCGACCACCCACACCATCCAAAACCTCGAAGCCTAAGAAGAAGGCGGCTCAACCCTGAGAGTCAACCTGTCACTTCGCCGACGGCTCTGCGGCAAGATCTTTATTTGGTGCTGGCGGACGGGTGCCGGGCATTGAGAAAAGTAGTCTCTAAAGAGTTTGGCAGGGAAGACAAGCGGCTCATCTCTACAAAAGCTAGCTCTGCAGTGTGTAGCTCCAGAAATCCACACTGTGTAGCTGGCTAGCTGTCTTAACCAACTATTTTGTTAGCCGAGTGACTGACGACTTACTGACTGAGGGCAAATAGTTTCTTGACCGACCGGCCGACCGACCGACTATCCACGCAACACATTGTCAACATTATGATACGGATGAACTCATGTAGGCACTGCTTGTTTAGTCATTTAGGTGCACACCACCAGAGCAGGCCATCGTGGCCTGGAAGCATGGGCTCAGCGAAGCGGCTTCATCGGAGGAGCCGTCACCCCACTGGACTACAAATGTGCTTCAGACTGTTGGGTTTCCCGGGAAGCCTTCGTGTGGGCAGAACGTAGCTCACGGAGCTGCTGCGCCGCAGACCCACGACCCCATTGATCCCATCTTCCCACCGACGCTGTGTTAGTTGGACTGACATGGCGAAGGCGGAAAGAGTCTGAGAGCGGGCGGGCGAGCACTGTCGAGAATGCAGATTTCCGAGCGGAAAATTATCGCTGCTGCTGATGCGAATACATATAAAACCTCCGAAGGGCAGCTGTCTGGTTCGACCTGTACTTGATGCCTTTGTCTTGATGGTTCTGGGACGCGTTGCTATGAGCACGTGGCAGACGCTAAAGGAAATCTTTACGATCACCGCGTGACCTGGGTGCACAGTGATTGTCTCTGTGTCTGTCTGTGTGTGTGTGTTTGTGTTTCGGAAAAGGACTGCACCGAGTGAAGATGTTCTACGACTCTACGAGCCCAATGTAGCCTCCGAGGAGGAGGGTTATCGCATGACATCTCCAGATGAACTGGGACGAACGACTGAGGATCAAGCATCCAGTGCTCAAGGCACGGCAGTCGTAGCATGATCTGAGTCATATATCCGGCGCAGACATTCCTTCTGCCGCCCATGGGCCATGGGCGTCCTTTGCAGAAGCGAGGCAACTCCAGCCCGGGGGACTTCGGACATCTTGGGACATTCGCGATATGAGATCATGTAAGATGATAAACATAATCATGTAATATGATCTAACATAGTTTTGTGAGATGATATAATAGTAGAATACAATACATCACTATAGTTCATAGCCTTTTGTTGTTCACGGACATTCAACGGGGATTGGCACATGGGCATCAGGTCGAAGCGCATAGGTGATACGTCTCATTTTTGATCGCTTCTTCGGAATTAAGCCCTGTCCCGACGCGTTGCTGCGAAGAGCTGAGGTCTTTCGTCGTTGGCACTTGTTGCAGAGCTGTACTTGCACACGCATGATGAGAGCCGGCGGCTCAAGCTTTGCAAGGCTTAAACTCCCGGAGTTTGAGCATCCGCCATGGGCTCATCACAGGGCAGTGCCCAGGGCAGTGCTACTTCAGAGGTTGCCGAGGATGGCATGACCTCCTGCAACACAGGGGTGCACCAATGCTCCTTTCCTATGTACGTGGTCAAGGTGTCGGACTTTCTAGAGATGGAGGGTATTCCTGAACCACACCAGGTATTGCGGCGGAAGGGCTTGCTTCACGAATGGCAGCCATCCATGTTCGTCATCTTCGTCTCGCACCAGTGGTTGGGCAACGGGTCTCCAGACCCGTCCGGGCAGCAGATGACGGTGTTGCGGCATGCTCTGCAGGCATGGATAGACGGATCCATGAAGGTGGACATAGATCTCATGCGCACCTTCGGAGAGCAAAGCTACGCCACGACAAGCTACGAGCGTGTGGCTTCTGCGTATCTTTTCTTGGACTGGTTTGCCATTCCACAGCTTACCGAAAGAACCGATGGGGTGAATGACGATGCCACAAAATCAGATACAGCTCGCGCAGTTCAGAGCATTCCAGCATATGTAGAATCTTGCGACATGTTCGTGGCGCTCGTCCCCGACCTTGTTCACAGTGATACCGGGCTTCAATGCAACTACAGCACTTGGCTTTCTCGAGGCCAGGACGGGATGCCTTTCAGGACTTTTGGGGTTTGAGGGTTTTAGGATTTCGGGGCTTAGGGCTTATAGGGTTTAGGGTACAACTGCTGTTGCCGTTGCTATTGCTGTCCTAGTGCTATTGCTACTACTATTCAATTCCGCCTGCCATTGCCATGGCCTTGCTCTTACTGTTTTGTTTCCATAATATTTCGATTGGCGTACTGTTTGGCTTCTATTGCTGTTACGATTGCTTTGGTTATGAGTTTTCTGGTTTTTATTTCTGTTTAAGTTTAGTTATTGTTGCTGCTACGTTCTACTGATCCTGCCGCTATTGCGAATGCTATTATTTCATACTTTCTCTATATTGTTAAAAGTATTGCTCTTCGTCTTCAGGTTCGAATACTGATTCTATTGGTTTTGCACTTGGTGCTGCTATTTAGTTGTGTTGTTTATTGCCTCGACTATTGCTATTATTACCCTTTCTAGGGACTACTATTCCGGTTTAGGCAAAACTATCACAATTACGCTAATAGCTTAGTTTCCGTTTCTGTTTGTGGAACCATTAGACGTACTGTCTTCTAACAATTCTACTTGCCATCACTATTCATTATGTTTTCGATCTTGACTACGATTACTTTGCCTTTACTTCCCCGTTGCCAGTACTTATACAATTTCTAAGGCTACGACCAGTACTGTTAGAGGTGCAGCTTCTTTTTGCTCGATTACTGTCACTATAGCTATTACCCTTTCAATTACCATTACTGTAACTGTTGCTGTCACTATTTCTGTTACCATTACTGTTTGTTATGCCATTGCTGTTACAACTAAAGATTCTATAATTGTTATGCTTGTTCACAATGGTTGCTTCTAGTAGTCTAGTACCAGTACTGTTGCTGTTTCTAGTGCCACCATTGCTTGTACTATCTACTGCCATTACTGTTACTACCATTGTTTCAGGTACTATTACTAGTACGGTTGGCTTGAACTAACTCTTGCATTTTGATACTGCTTCCTTTGAGTGTGTTTGGCACCTGGTACTATTGCGATTAATACTTCTGTTGCTACTGTTTTTACAACTATTGCAGTGCTTGTGCTTTTGCTGCTTCTGTTTCTAACACTTTAGGGTTTGTGTTGCGTGTGCTGCTGCTGTGCCGATTACTATATCACTGTTTCTATTTCCATTACTTGTTCTCTTACTAGACCCAGCCTAGTATACAAGGCTTTTCCTATTACCATCATTAGTTACTCCGCTACTACTATTATTCGCTATTGCGTTTGCTTTTTTTTTGTTACCATCGCTGTCGCCATCATTATGACCGTTATTCTACTCTCACCATGAGCATATCTGTTACTGTGATTAGTACTGCTGTTAGGTTTATTGAATTTGCTATTGTTACTACCCGTTTTATGACCCTTTCAATTTCCATTAACTTTGGCTCTTGCTATCACTATTGCTGTTGTTGATCATCTTGTCACTGTGCTTCTTTGAATGTTGTAGTCGCTAGTAATACCATGGGACGGCCAAGAAACTGACCCATCGTGAAGGCGAAGCTTACAGGCATAAACAGCAGTCGAAGACTTCCGTTGGGACTCTGTGGCGATGGAGAAGTTGTGTAGGACGAATGCAAGAGAAGCAGAGAACGAAGGACAGAATGAGAGAGAAAGAAAGAGCAAAAGGTCCAGGAAAGCAAAATACAGGACAAACGTCGTTTCAAAAAGGCGCAGTGAGCTTCGCCTGACGAGGCACAGTGGGGAGGCAGGGGAAGGTTTGATGAAGGAGATGCACAAACAACACTCTATACGACGCATCCACCGGGCTTCAGGGGGGATTTGAGTTTAGAAAGCGGGCTGTGCGACCTAAGTTACCGTTGTAAGTGTGATGTTTGGTCAGTTGACGGATCAGTGGCTGCTTGATTGTACATTGAATTTCGGTGATTGAAGGTTATAAGTCTAAGGTGTCTGGGTGACAATACAATGTGTGTTGTGTATCTCGCCCCTCCAGGCTGGTGTCGCGCGGAGCTGTGGTGTCGCCTGCTCTCAAACCGCGAGGACACCAGGGTTGTTCTTATATTTTCCGATAGAGAGGCACTCTACATTATGCCTATGGACTGGCAAAGAAGCTTGATCGCGGATGGCCTGTTCACTGTGGAAAGCGACCGCACTGTGGTGATGAAGCTTGGGGAGAGGGCTTTGAGAAGCAAGATCGAGCACTTGGATCGATGGGGGCCCTTGACCGACTACCGCTTCCACTTAGCCCAAGAGCCCAGATTGCTCAGCCAACAGCAGGGAGGCTTTAGCCTGCAGGGCTTCTTGCGGCACTTTGGCTTTCCGAGTCTCCATGACGCTGTGAAGCATGAAAGTGGTATGACAGGCATGCTGTGTGCAATTGTTGCTGGCGATGGAGATATCGTGCAAACCTTGGTCAAGCATGGTGCGGATGTGAACGCTCGTGTCAGCGGTCTTGGACATTTGGGCTACTCCGATTCTCTGACTTTGCTGATGGTGGCCGCTTACAATGCCCAAGATCCGAAGATATTATCGACCCTCATCATGTCGCAGGCAGACCCTAACATTGCATGCGTCTCCGAGTCTGGCTCACTAGTTACTGCTTCATGGTTGGCATCGCAGCCTGGCCACGTACAGGTGTTGCTGGAGAAGAAGGCCGATTTCGGAGCATCACCGCCCTTGACGGGCGCTGTCGGAGTGTCCACTGCAAGCACGGTGAAGGCATTCTTGGAGGCTCGCTGTGACCCTTGCACCGTTTCCCCAAATGGCTTCGGACCTATGTACAGTGTGTCTTTCTTCGGCCGCGGCAATCCAGATGCGCCAGCCATCTTGCAGATGCTCTTGTCCTCGCGTGGTGATGCGAATGCGCGAGCCACGCCCCGTGGCCTTCTGTACAAGGAGTGTTTGCGTGCTCGGGTTTCTGCTGCCCTTTGGGGACTCGAGGGGTGCACTGTTTACCAGCGGCAAATGGCTTCCCTTCCAGGGGCCACAGCTTTGTCTATTGCTGCTGTCATGGGCGACCAGAGACTGGTGAGGCTACTCTTAGAACATGATGCTGAGCATATTGCTAATGATCGAGGAGACACGCCGGAAGACTTGGCGAGGGCAGCTGGCCATACGGATCTGCTGCCCATACTGTCCACTTTCTATGTATAGAACCAGTAATCAACGGTCGCGCGACCCCTATCCTTCCACTGGCAGCGCAGAATGTGCTAGACCAGACTTGGATTGACATTGCTGTTGGCAAAAAGCAATCTAATCTTGCAGTGAATCTTCCCCACCTGAGGTTCAGGCTCACGGCTCTCTGCTACAGAATGCGTGCCGCTTTATCAATGCTTTCACGACCTCAGCCCCAGTTCGTAGCTTAGCCCCCAGTTCGTAGCTGGGCCCAACGGAACACCCTGCAGTAGGCAGTAGCTGGAGTTGCCATGCTTGCTACAGCTGCTCTCACGCGCCGGGCCGTCCAGACGAGGTCCTGCAAGGCAGCTGCCCTCACAGTGCGCACATGCATAGTGCTTTCATGCTTTGCCTTGCTCTACGCGGCCCATGCAGCCCATATGGCGGCATCGCGCTATGAGCAGAAGGTGTCAGCCACCCTGCAGCAGATCTTGGAAGCCCAAGCTCGAGCCGCGGCTGACACTGCTGAGTCCGAGTGGCATAGAGCCAAGGCGGCAGAGGATGCAGCTGCAGAGGCACGAGACGAAGCCGAAGCTGACACGGACGCAGCGGCTGCAGAGTCTGACCGTGCAGAGGAGGTCGAGGACAACGCCAAGGCTGCCACTGACGAGACCAATGCTGACAAGGAAGAGGCTGAAGCAGAGACCGAGTCAAAAAAGGTCGCTGCCGATGAGACTGCAGCTGACTCGGAGCAGGCTGGAGCTACAGCAGAAGGTGCAAAAGCTTCGGAGGAAGAAGCTGAGGCAGAAGCAGACGAGGCTGCGGAGGTGGTACTCTCCGTTGTGCCGGGCGTCGACGTAGTTGCGGATACTGCGGGTACTGCAGTGGCAGGCGGCTTGCAAGCCACGGCAGCAGCCGACACAGCTGAAGCAGCTGAGTTGGAGGGCGAGAGCATGTCTGAATGGGCAGCCAAATTGGAAGCCGAGGCAGAGCTTGGGCAGACCAGGGCCGCCGAAGCGGCAGTGGGCAATCGAGCGATCCGCAACCGTGCCGCTGCCAAGGAGGCAGAGGAGGAAGCGGAGGCAGAGGAAGCCGACGAAGAGAGTGAGAGAGCCCACAAGGCAAAAACGGAGGAAGATGCTGCGAAGCAAAAGGCCAAAGCGGCGCAGGAGAAGGCGGATGCAGAGCAAGCGCGAGCACATGCGGTTTGCAAGTTCGTGGATCTTATCGATTTCTCTATCGAGGCAATCCTCTTTGCGCTCTTGAGCCTAGCATTTGCCGTCCTACCAGCACTGTTCCTACTTGGGAAGTGGGTTGCATCAGCTTGCCGATTTGGTGGTTGGCTTGTGCTGCGCCCATGCCAGACTCTTGCCGCTGGGGGATCGAGGCAGTTTGTTGAGTGCCTGCATGGCCTGACGTTGGCTCTCATGGCATTTAGATTTCTGCTTCCGGTTGTTGCCGCGGCAGTAAGAAAGCTGGGGCACGACGAGCTCCGACTCGGCAACTTCAAGGACACTCACAAGAGCGCAGCAATCATGCTCCACAACTTCGAGATCCTGGCTCCGACCATTAAGCAGGCGGTTGGAAGCTTTGTCGCAAGATCTTTCGTTGTCTTTCTTTGGACATTGATTGTGGAGTTTGCCTTCATGCTTGAGCGCTTGCGGTGCACATCCATGCCGTTCTCACGTCGCTTTTGCCGGGCGTGTCAGGGTTCAGCGGACATGGCCTGCATGGCTGGCCTGGTGTCAGCTGCAGGGTCGGTGGTTGTACTCAGTTGGAGCCGATCCCTGTGGGAATTGCTCGGTGACGCTCTAGCATTTTCATCCATTTCCTTTGCCTTGGAGCTATGCGCGATCTTTTCTCTCATCGCTGAGGCATGTTGTCGTTGGCAGTGGGCCCCGCCCCCTCAGGAGATGCTGGAGCAGCAGGAAACAGGCCAGCCACAAAGAGAGTCTCGCGGAATTTGGGTTTGCCTGGCTGATGCGGCATTGACGCTGCTGGAAGGCACGATCAGTGTTGTTGAAGGCGCAATGACCATCGGTGCGGGTTGGATGCTGAGCTCCCTCTTGATGTTTGCTTTATGCGTGTGTGAGCTGGCAGTTCCATATGCGTTGCCAAGGGCTAAGACCTTTGTGGCGCATTGGTGGTTCTGGCTCATGTACTCCATCGTGGTGTTGGTGCTGGCCGATGTGGCCTATGTCGTGATCCACCTCCGTCCTTGGTGTCGACGTGGAGATCTCAAGGGAGTCCAGGAGGCTCTGCTGCCACAGTAGCAGCAGAGCACGATGTCTCGACGGAGTGCACAAGACTTATAATTATGAATCTCCTTTGAGCGGCCGCAGCAAATAAAAGCTTGCGAAAAGAGTCCACACGGGCACGCGGGCATCCTGCAACTCTGACACAGGCGGATGGAATGGCTATGCCGAACTTCTGGGCAGCGGAGGCGGCGATCGCGATTCCGGGACCTTCGGCCTTTCAGCCGCACCGTAGTTACATGGTCAACCCCAGTTCAATCAGGGCAGGGGTCCGCAATCACCGCACGTATCCTGGGTCCAAGTTCAGGCAGGAAGACATGCAGAAAGCTGTTGTCGTGGGCATGGTCGTCGTTGTGATTGTTGTCATCTCGTCGTGGTTGTGGTTGTTGTGGCTGTTGCTGCTGCTGTTGCCGTTGCTTTTCAAGGAATCGGTTGCGTTTAGGCCGTAGGGTTTTGTAGTTTGGGGATTTATGCTTTCAGGGCTTCAGGGCTAGGGGTGGAACCTCGCCGATGGTTGTGTTTATTTTTCTTGCTGGTGATTTAGGATTTCGGGCTTTGGTTGGTTAATTACTTTTAGTGTGCGGCTCCATCTTTTGCGTGCTCATGGCTTTCCCGGCCGTCCGGAATCTAGTTCCTGTTTCGAACATGTTGAGAGTTAGCAGCCGGCTGCACTTTATGGCACGGTGCTCTAGACCCGAAACCCTGCGCAAATCGGTAGACTTCTAAACCAAAGCCTCGTGGCCCTAATCCCTGTGCTGTTTTGGAGTTCATAGTTCGATTGAAAGCATCGTCTAGTCGGCGGCGCACAATGTCTGCCCTGTGCTGCCTTGCATTGAACTATTTTGTAGATGGGTAGTTGTCTAAACAGAGGGTAGCTTTGTAGATCCCACAAAGCAGTACGGCACCCATTTAAAACAACCCTAAGGGGGCCCATTAAGTTTAGAGAACTACCCATATGTTGCTTTCAGGTTCTAAATGCTGCTACATACGAAAGCCGAAACTCCACCCGGTCCCTGAATTGAGGTCCTTTGTGCAAGCGCGCTGGAAAGTTCGAAGGCAACTCCTGCCCTGGGACTTTGGGCGACATCCTCGAGATTGCAGGCTTCACTATACAGTCCGAGAGCCTTTTGTTGGTCCGGGCATTCAGTGGGGAGAAGCACATGTTGGACGGAAGGTCGAGACACGTATGTTCTCAGCTCTCATCTTTGATAGCTTTCACTGCATCTTCATGTTTTTTGGAATTCAGCATGTGCTGCGAACTGCTGACAGATGCTGAGGCTTGCCTTTTGCTAACCGAGTTTGTGTCAGTGTATGAAAAGATGGGTATTGACGTAAGAAGAAGCAAGACTTGCCCAAAAGAGAAATCAAGTTTGTCGTAGCCATTACTGGTGAAACGTCTTGTTCTTCGATGGATTTGATATAGAGCAGCCTTGCAGCAGAGCTGTACTTCCACACTCATGATGAGAGCCGGCTCAAGCTTTGCAAGGCTTAAACTCCCGGAGTTTGAGCATCCGCCATGGGCTCATCACAGGGCAGTGCGCAGGGCAGTGGCACTTCAGAGGTGGCCGAGGATGGCATGACCTCCTGCAACACAGGGGTGCACCAATGCTCCTTTCCTATGTACGTGGTCAAGGTGTCGGACTTTCTAGAGATGGAGGGTGTTCCTGAACCACACCACGTATTGCGGCGGAAGGGCTTGCTTCACGAATGGCAGCCATCCATGTTCGTCATCTTCGTCTCCCACCAGTGGTTGGGCAACGGGTCTCCAGACCCGTCCGGGCAGCAGATGACGGTGTTGCGGCGTGCTCTGCAGTCGTGGACAGACGGATCCATGACGGTGGAGGTAGATCTCATGCGCACCTTCGGAGATCAAAGACGTTTCACGTCGAGCTACGAGCGCGTGGCTACCGCATACCTTTTCCTAGACTGGTTTGCAATTCCACAGCTTACCGAAAGAGCCGATGGCGTGAATGACGATGCCACAACATCAGATACAGCCCGCGCAGTTCAGAGCATTCCAGCATACGTAGAATCTTGCGACATGTTCGTGGCGCTCGTCCCCGACCTTGTTCACAGTGATACTGGGCTTCAATGCAACTACGGCACTTGGCTCTCTCGAGGCTCGCATGTTTCTCAATATTGCTATTGTTCTTATGCTGAAGGTTACGGCGGTGTTGGTCGATGCCCTGAGAAAGCCATGAAACGAAATTTCCGCTAAATGCACGAACACCGGATGAGTTTTGTGGGCCGGATATGAACAGAGAAAGTGGAGCGGGGGAGGCGAGAAGCAAAGAACAGAAGAATAAGAGCTAGTGAGACAGAACGACAGAAGCGTGGATTGAAGAAGGGAAGACATGTATTGAGAGTGAGTATGAGATACCCGAGGACGAACAAGACAAATGGATGGACGGTGCGACTCATACCGAAGGGGAAATGGTGATATCATTTTCGTGTTTTTGTTAATCGGCGCGGTTTTGCATTGTTGTATCCGTTTCGGGGTTTGCCTAGACGAGCAACCAAAGCAGGCAAGCAAGCACTCAAGCGCTGTCTCCCAGTCGCATGCACACAACACATGTCAATACAGTATGTGCACATGAGCCTCAGCATTTAAATTTTGGCAGAAAGCGGCGCAGGCCGAAAGAAACAGGGAAAACTTCGTAACAAGAAAGAACATAGCCTGCGGGCAGGTCGCATGATGGGGTGCAACGTGCATGTAGCGCCAGGCAGCCTGTCTCTGCAGCGCATGTCGGCACAAAATGCTTGTCTGCATGCCAATCCTGCCTCAGAAGAACGACTTGCTGGCCAAACTGTCGTGAGAAAGGATCGGCATCAGAGACACAGAAGAGAGGTTCTGAAGGGATGAAGGAGTGAGATGGTGGGTTTGCAGATGTGGATGTTGGCAGTGGCAGCAGGTGTCATTGGATCCCGCCGGAGCCTCACCAAAACCCTCCACTGCGCGGCTGAAACCGCCAGCTAAGATCCCTAAACAGTGCGAATGCACTACACGAGGTTTCCTCCATGTACAGGCCACTCTGTGAAATTATCACAGTTTTCATAGGAAAAGGAGCATACACGAGGACAGCGGACGAAAGACATAAAGCCACACCGAAAAAACGAGCCACGGAACTTGTCTGGCGACCAGAAGGGGCAGTCCAAGTTGTCAAGGCACCATGTAGACTCTCAGGCCCTAGGAAAGGGAAAGCCGGGATTCGGAGATAACATCACGTTGTTGCATGATCCTTACACTGGGCTACGCTAATGAGACAACTGTAGTGCAGAAGTGAAATGACAAACACTGCTTCGCTGCATGAGATGCACAAGGGTGCAGGTGGGGCGGGGGCACAGGGAAGCGGGTACACAGCATGCCAGGCTGGGATTTCGACTCCAAGAGGAGAGGAACTCAGGAAGTCAACTTCGTAAACGAAAGCGGCTATGCTTTGCCTGCACGCGCAAGGTTTTCCGTTTTCGGATATAGACGTCGAGATGTGTGGCTTCGCTTTCCGAGTGGAGAGGAAGGCTTGGAGGATTCCTGTGCTTGTGTGAGACACCTGTTGAACTTGGGAGGGAAAGCTCTAACAATGAAGAGTACAGTGTCAGTTTTGATTTATAAGAAACACATTGAGCTTCGCCTCACGATGGAAAAGGAGGGAGGGACTTCGCCGACTTCGCCTTGTGATGCAGAGGGGCAGGCCGAGATTTGAGAACAGAGCCACGCAACATCGCTACTCACGAAGCATGCACCGTGAATCAGGGAAAAAGGGTTGCAATCAAGTTTCAGAAACAAGCTGAACGAGTACATCACAAGGCATGGGAGCAGGGAATGCCCAGTCAGAAAGGCTGAGAGCATGTCGCAGGTCTGCCCTCTTTTGGGAGTCAGTAGCTCCATTGTTTCGGGGTTGTATGGCGTCTCGATGACAATGCAATGTGCGTTTTGTCTCGCCCTTGAAGGCTGGTGTCGCGCGGAGCTATGGTGTCGCCTGTTCTCAAACCGGGAGGACACCAGGGTGGTTCTCATATTTTCAGGCAGAGAGGCACTCTTCATTATGCCTCTGGACTGGCAAAGAAGCTTGATCGCGGATGGCCTGTTCACTGTGGAATGCGACCGCACTGTGGTGATGAAGCTTGGGGAGAGGGCTTTGAGAAGCAAGATCGAGCACTTGGATCGGTGGGGGCCCTTGACGGACTACCGCTTCTACTTGGCGCAGGAGCCCAGATTGCTCAACCAGCAACACGGAGGCTTTAGCCTTCAGGGCTTCTTGCGGCACTTTAGTTTTCCGAGTCTCCATGACGCTGTGAAGCACGAAAGTGGCATGACGGGCATGCTGTGCGCACTTTTTGCCGGCGACGCGGATATCCTGCAAAGCTTGGTCAAGCATAGTGCGGATGTGAACGCTCGTATCAGCGGTATTGCGCATTTGGGCTACTCTGATACTCTAACTTTGCTGATGGTGGCCGCCTATAGTTCTCAAGAGCCGAAGATCCTGTCCACCCTTATCATGTCGCGGGCAGATCCTGACACTGTGTGCGTCTCCGAGGCTGGCTCGTTAGTCACCGCGGCATGGTTAGCCACGCAGCCTGGCCACGTACAGGTGTTGCTGGAGAAGAAAGCAGACTTGGCCGCGTCACCGCCCTTGACGGGCGCGGGCGCAGTTTCCAATGCACGCACGGTCAAGGCATTCTTGGAGGCTCGTTGTGACGCTGGTCACGTTTCCCCAAATGGCTTCGGACCTATGTACAGTACGGCCTTCTGTGGCCGTGGCAGTCCGGATGCACCAGCCATCTTGCAGATGCTCTTGTCCTCGCGTGGTGATGCGAATGCGCGAGCCAAGCCTCGTGGGCTTCTGTACAAGGAGTGTTTGCGTGCTCGGGTTTCTGCTGCCCTTTGGGGGCTCGAGGGTTGCACTGTCTACCAGCGTCAAATGGCTTCCCTTCCAGGGGCCACGCCTTTGTCTATTGCTGCTGTGATGGGCGACCAGAGACTGGTGAGGCTACTCTTGGAACATGATGCTGAGCCTGTTGCTAATGATCGAGGAGACACGCCGGAAGACTTGGCGAAGGCAGCAGGTCATACCGATTTGCTGCCCATACTGTCCACTTTCCATGTATAGAACCATCAATTAAAGCGGTCGCGCGACCCTTATCCTTCCTCTGGCAGCGCAGAATGTGCTAGATCAGACTGGGATTGACATTGCCGTCGAAAAAATCGAAGAAGATGCAGTGAATGTCCCTCGCCTGAGGTTCAGGCTCGCTGCCCTCCAGCTGCAGACATGATGGCCCCTTTACGGAGACCGCGGTGTCAGTTTTTGTTTCGCTGCAGCTTGCGGAAATTTCCTGAAAATGGGTTGACCTCGAGCCTGCAGTTCTGCAGCCTGTGCGGTCACAGGCTGATATGGAGCTCCGGTTGGCGTGGCTGGAGGCCAGGGGTGGATAAAGCCGGGGCCCAAGTAACTACCAGTACTATTTGGGGGTTCCCTAATGTCATTTATTGCGCAATATACCACAAGCACAAGTCTAACTATTGGTAAAATGTAAACCAAAACCTGATTCTATTCCTTAAGGCCCCTATAAACCAGAGCGCTGAAAACCCAAGACCTGGCGCTTGCCGGCTTTCGGCTCTGAGTTTCGGAGCCCGAGGGAATGGACGAAGTCGGTAAGCGAGCGGATTCGTTGGGTCGGCTCCTTGCGGGTTAGATAGGGTCAAGGATTTCAGTTCAGGGGATAGGGTTTAGGGTTCTGGAACTATCTCCAAAGTTGCCCAGACCCACTCGCAAACCAGCCTTCTTTGTAGCGGTGATACGCTTGCAACGTCTAGGCGGGGTTTGTGGTTGCAACATGGGCACCGCTTCGTGAATGCTTCCAGGATTCCAGGTCAAAGGAACTAACAGAACACAGTACTTGGAAGGGCATGGGACTTAGTAAGTAGGTTATAAGTAGAGTTATAAGTACCCTAGATGGAGTTACCTCAATTATAACCCTACTTATAACCTACTTACTAAGTCCCCTAAAGCCCCTCCAAGTAGGCAATAGCTGGAGTTGCCATTCTCACCATGGCGACTTCCTCGGAGAGCGATGCGAGCGATACCTCGGAGGCCGAAGATGGCGACGAAGTGCTGGATTTTGAGGAGGTGCTGCGGAAGTTCCAACAGAAGGCATCGCAGAGCCTAGACGAGGAATACGAGCTCCTCATGGCTTTGTTGCAAAAGTTTCAGGGTGAGGGCAGGTGGAAGCCTATCCTTTCCAGCTTCCGCACACTGGCCGCCCGTCCTCGCACCAAGGACTGGCTCGTTCGGCGCAGCCGGCGGTTGCGAGCGAAGGAGCAGAAGAGCAGCAGCCCAAAGCCGGAGAGACCGGAAAAGACCGTGGAGGCAGATTCTCTGGAGCTGCAGGAAGCGCCGAAGATTCCTCCCGATTACCCGTTCTTGATGGATTTGCGGAGGCTGAAGCATGTGGTGATGGGAGGTGACTCAAAGCGCTTCTATCACACAAGCTTCCGCAACATGACTCGTGATTGGGGATTCGAAGAGCCTTTTTGCAGGAGTCGGGCAGGGCAGATCAACGGAGCAATGTTTGATCATTTTTGCATGGCCGTTCGGGCAACCTACCCTTTCAACAAGGCTGGACCGTGGATCAAGGGCTTCTGCTGTACATCTGACCGTTGCAAGTCGCATTTTATCGCGCGAAAAGCATTGGACATGCTAGGCAAAGAAGGTGATGGCCAGCAAGTGCTCGAAAAGCTGGCAGACATGGCCAGAGCAGCTACGAAAGACCTGGTTTGTGAAGAAGAAGGAGATAATGCAGCGTCGTGGTGGAAGGAAGCCCTTCCCCTTTGGTCGAACGTCTGCTGTCCAGCTGTGCATTGCATGTATGCAAGGCCGCTTAGCGTGCTTCGGAAGCCTGTGGTTGAACACTTGTGTCGGCAACAGAAACAGGCCGCTCGGGCGCTGGAGCACCCAGCGACTACATGGCAAGCCCTTGCGAAACAGATGCGCTTGCAGCCGTGGCAGGCCGCAGATGTGAGGGTGCAAGTGAGAATCAAGAAGAAACGACGCAAACACTTGTCAGCGCGAGTGGAGCAGAGCTTGAGCCACGTATATGCTCGGTGGATGTCGGAGCTGCTTCCAAGCTTGAGCCCCGATGATGCAGAGCGACTTGCCGAGTGGCACGTGATTCTGGAGTGGGAGCGCAAACTCATAACGTCGATTCATGCCACGGACGCCTCCGTCTGCTGGAATGAGCTGGCGGGATTGAGCTTCCAGGAGTTTCAGATGTGTGCGCGTGGTTTCTCGGATGCAGATCTCTTTAGTCTTTGCTTCTTGCCTGGGGTTGATGTGGACAGAAGACTGCTACGCTTCGCGCTGTGGGGTGCTTTTCTCACTGAGTATATCGCTGCTGCGGGACGAGACGGTTGGACGATGGGCACAGACTGTTCTCAACCAAACGAAGCTTCTGCCACACATGCTCCGGAGAAGATGCCGCCAAGCGCAGACGATGCACCTGCGACCCAAGTGGAAAGCTGTCCTCCCGGGCTGCACCTGGCACGGCTGAGACCGGGCTCTGTGGTCCTGCACGTTGCCAGCGGAGACGTTTCTTCTTCCAGGTGCGGCATGCGCGGCGAGCTCATCACAGCCCATGGCCAAACCTGCATGGTGAAGTTCCCCAACCAGTTCCATTTGCAGGAGTTGCCGACGAAAACCTTGCTGGCAGTTGGTGAGTCGGAGAAATGCCAGGCATGCAACAGACTAGGTGCTTGGTGCTGCAGCTCATGCTCCTGTGCTTTCTACTGCTCTTCCGAGTGCCAGCTGGCTTCCTGGCCCTCGCACGCAGCATCCTGCGGCTCACGCCAAAGCAATCCCAGTATGTTTTCCGACTCCTGTGATCTCCAGAGGCTCGTGGACCAGCTCGAGTTCGGACGTAGGATCCTGGAGCAAGAGATCGAGATCCCCTATCAGGAGGTTTGGAAGGCCCAGGAGGTTTTCCAACACGTGATTAAGCAGTTGAAACCAGTACTGGACAATAATGGAAGTGGAGAAGTGTATGCTGGAGCCTCGCATTCGTACCTCATGGCTGCGGCTTACGTTTACAGCGCGCAAGCTGCTGGCTATATTGGGGAGGGGAAGCAGGCAGTAAGCGATGCTGAACAAGCTATTTCGCTTTTGGCTGACCTGAAGTCTGGCCATGTTGTGCAGCTTCTGAATCCAGAGGGTCACTCTCTGCTTCAGGCGCAAGCGCACTTTGCGAGGTCGGTTGGTTTGCACGACACGGTTGGATCTGCTGCAGCAGTGGAAGCCCCTGCTTCAGTCGGAAAGTTGTGCGACCACCACGGCTTATCAAGGCAGGACTGCCTGTACATGCCGCCGGGACATCACTTTGAGCAGCTCGGGGACTGGATTGCTGCAGCAAAAAGCAATGGTCCAGAAGTGGAAGATAGGCTGACAGACTCGTCGGAGGAATCTGAGGATCCTGAGGATTCACTCGAAGAAGAGTCTTGGGTTGTGCCTCCGCCACCAGAGCCTTATTCTGATGTTTGCGGCAAATCGTGCTTCAAGTGCGGCTGGGCAGTGAAGAAACGAGGCTTGAAGTTGCATCTACGTCGCGAATGTAGCATGCGTAATGCGAGATGCCCGTATTGCAGAGAGCTTTGTGAGGTAGGTTTCCTTGATGAGCACCATGCCGTTCATTGCCGAGAGTTTCCAGAACCATGCAAACTCTGCGGCGACAGTGTTGCTCGAAGCCGCATGGAGGCTCACTTGGATGCTGACTGCCGCTTTCGGATTGCTCCTTGCCCACATGTTGGCTGCACATGGGCAGATTTGGCTGATCAGCTGCAAAGCCACATGGAAGACTGCATCTATGCCCTCCACACGTGCGAGTTCTGCCTGGAGGAGTTGCCAGCTCGCTTCATGCCTTCGCACGTGTGTCCAGTGATTCCCCGAGATCAGACCTGCATGGTGTGTTGCGAGCCTTTTGCAGATCTCGAAAAGCAGGGGGTCCTACCAGCAATACTCTTGCAATGCGGCAGACGCTCCTGCGACCACCTGTACTTCTGCGTGCGGTGTGCACTGAAATGGTCCAAGCAGGCCGAACTCTCCGACGGGAAGAAGCGGTCCGAGTGTCCGCTGTGCCGCAAAGAGTACGACGATCTGGCTCCGTGCCCTCAGCATTTGCTGGTCGAGGTGGAAGATACCAAGAAGGACGTGAAAACCTTGCAGGCCTTAAACCTCAGGCTTTGCGATTGTCCTGAAGAGTCTTGCCACTGGGTCTCTCCCCTGCACGTGCACTTCACGCATGGCAGCATCTCGGAGCGCTTCAAAGCAGGAGGAGAGCAGCTTCGGATGGAAGCGCCCCAGCATCCTGGACACGATACGGCAACTCCTTGGGGGCTGGGAGCCCTCTGAGTTGGAATGCCTTGATGTTGCATGGCACAAAGGGCGAATCTATGTGGCTGGCTCGGGCAACCGCCGACTCTGCATGTGGCGTTTACTCTGCCTCTTCCATCCCCAACAGTGGGCTCGGATCAAGGTGAAGTTCCGCAGCCGGAGCGATCGTCGACTCCATTTCAGTGCGGCGCTGGACACCGAATGCAACGGCGAGTTCGTGGAAGTGCGGCACGGGCGCTATGTCGGGAAGTCCTTGCATCCTTCAGGGAGTGACCCTGGAGTTGCATGGCCAGAAGCATGGGCGCTGTTGCGGCCCGCATGATTATTCCTAAGCATCACCATGCTTCACGGCGTCTACCACAACGGTGGCGATTCTTGTGAAACAAGCCCAGTTTTGTCATCATGACCTGTCATGAGGTTCATCCCTGCGTGTTGAGCTCGCCCAGCTTGCTTCAATACAGTTCGCCGCATGCCACATCGCCTGCAGTGTTCGAGTTGCGAGTTGCTTTGCAAAGGCTCTGGGGTACTTGTTCGGGGATCCTCTGGGCCTGATCACTCCTCGCCACAGGCCCTGCAATCCAGAATCCAGGCTTCTCAGCAAGAGCTCGCTTCCAAGCCATTCTGATTCAACTTGAACATCAGCATTCAGTTTGCCTCTACGGTACATCAAGCTCAGCTCCACCCCTGAAGACTGCTCAGGCACCAACCCCCCTAAGACTACCTCAGTAGTCCTAGCCACCGGGATTAAGGTTAGAGCCCCCTGTGCATGACCCACGACTGTGGCTTTGCTTGACTTCTGCCTTGGTTGTGGCTTTTCAGCCAAAAGGCTAAGAGGTTTTCGGATTTTGAGTTTTGCTGTGGGCCCCTGCGGGCTCAATGCATGATTCCGAGTGGGGTTGAGACTGTGCTGCACCCCGTTACAAGTTCTAGCCTCAACCGCAAATGCGAAAGCTTAAATCCTAAACCATGGTAGTCTGGAGGCGAACGGCTACAAGAAACATGAGACGTACTGACATCCTCCGCATCTCACCAAGACCCTTTGCAAAAGGATCCGCGGGTCAGCTTCTTTGCCGGGACCCCAGGAGGCACTTTCAGGGAACCGGTTCGAGTTGTTTTTAGCGCTCAGGGTTTGGTAGTTTAGTGCTTTATGGTTTTGGGGCGTTGTGTTCAAGTTTTCGGGTTGGTGATTTCGGGCTTTGGTTACGTTTAGTTACGATTTATGTTCAAGGTTTTGTAGACGGGTAGTTCTGCAAACTGAGGGTCCCTTTAGATCCCCCAACAATCGTACGGCACCCTTTTGAAAAGGACCCGAAAAGGAATCCTGATTTAGAGAATTGCCCATACGTTGCTTTCAGGTTCTAAATGCTCCCAAACGCGAACACCGAAACTCCGTTCGGGCCCTCAGCCGAGGTCCTTTGCGCACCCGCTCCCCGAATGTCGGAGGCGCCTCCAGCCCTAGGACTTCGGACAGCTGGGGATATTTTCGGGATAACGTAATATGATTTCATATAATATGTTATGACTATGTAATATGCTATATGTAATATAATGCATCACTATGCTGGCCTTTTGTTGGTCGTGGGCACTCCGGGGGGATAAGCACATGTTGGACGTCAGGTCGAGACACTAATTTTTCAGCTCTTATCTTCGATTGGTTTCACTGGGTGTTCATGTTCTTCGGATTTCAGCCTCGAGCAGCTGACAGATGCTGAGGTTTGCCTCGCTACTGTATCGGAGTTTGTGTCAAGGTTTGAGAAGATGGGTAATTACGTAAGCAGGGGCAAGACTTGCCCAAAAGATAAATCAGGTAGGGTAGCCATTGCTAGTAAAAAACGACTTGTTCTTCGATGGTCTTTTTTGCTATAATGCACCCTTGCAGTACCTCCACTCGTGATAAGAACTGGCCCAAGCCCTTGCAAGGCTAAAACTCCGGAGTCTCATCATTTCCGATGGGCTCATCACAGAGCAGTGCCCAAGACAGTGCCACTCTGGAGGTTGCCGAGGATGGCATGACCTCCGGCAAGACAGGGGTGCACCAATGCTCCTTTCCTATGTACGTGGTCAAGGTGTCGGACTTTCTTGCGATGGAGGGTGTGCCTGAACCACACCAGGTATTGCGGCGGAAGGGCTTGCTTCACGAATGGCAGCCATCCATGTTCGTCATCTTCGCCTCCCACCAGTGGTTGGGCAACGGGTCTCCAGACCCGTCCGGGCAGCAGATGACGGTGTTGCGGCGTGCTCTACAGTCGTGGATAGACGGATCCATGACGGTGGAGGTAGATCTCATGCGCACCTTCGGAGATCAATCAGGTTTCACGACGAGCTATGAGCGCGTGGCTACTGCATACCTTTTCCTAGACTGGTTTGCGATTCCACAGCTTACCGAAAGAGCCGATGGGGTGAATGACGATGCCACAACATCAGATACAGCCCGCGCAGTTCAGAGCATTCCAGCATACGTAGAAGCTTGCGACATGTTCGTGGCGCTCGTCCCCGACCTTGTTCACACTGATACCGGGCTTCAATGCAACTACGGCACTTGGCTTTCTCGAGGCTCGCATGCTTTTCAATATTTCTATTGTTCGTATGCTGAAGGTTACGGCGGTGTTTGGGCGGTGTTGGTCGATGCCGTGGGAAAGCCATGAAACTAAATCCTCGCTAAATGCACGGTACAAGCATCAAGAACTGAACACCGGATGAGTTTTGTGGGCCGGATATGAACAGAGAAAGTGGAGCGGGGGAGGCGAGAAGCAAAGAACAGAAGAATAAGAGCTAGTGAGACAGAACGACAGAATAACGGATTGAAGAAGGGACGACATGTACTGAGAATGAATATTAAATAATGTAGGACGAACAAGACAAATTTGTGGATGGTGGACTCATACCGGAGGGGAAATGGTGATATCATTGGTGTGGTTTTGCATTTTTGTACCTGTTTCTGTGTTTGCCTACACACGCAACCAAAGCAGGCAGCTAGTAAAGCAGGCAGGCAGGCAAGCAAGCACTCAGGCATGAAAGCATCCCGTGTCGTCTGCCCTGTTTGGGTATCAGCAGTCGATTCAGGGAAGCTTCTGTGTTTCACAGGTTTGTATGGTGTCTCGATGACAATGCAATGTGCGTTTTGTCTCGCCCTTCAAGGCTGGTGTCGCGCGGAGCTATGGTGCCGCCTGTTCTCAAACCGGGAGGACACCAGGGTGGTTCTCATATTTTCAGGCAGAGAGGCACTCTTCATTATGCCTCTGGACTGGCAAAGAAGCTTGATCGCGGATGGCCTGTTCACTGTGGAAAGCGACCGCACTGTGGTGATGAAGCTTGGTGAGAGGGCTTTGAGAAGCAAGATCGAGCACTTGGATCGGTGGGGGCCCTTGACGGACTACCGCTTCTACTTGGCGCAGGAGCCCAGATTGCTCAACCAGCAACACGGAGGCTTTAGCCTGCAGGGCTTCTTGCGGCACTTTAGTTTTCCGAGTCTCCATGACGCTGTGAAGCACGAAAGTGGCATGACGGGCATGCTGTGCGCACTTTTCGCCGGCGACGCAGATATGCTGCAAAGCTTGGTCAAGCATAGCGCGGATGTGAACGCTCGTATCAGCGGTATTGGGCATTTGGGCTACTCGGATACTCTAACTTTGTTGATGGTGGCCGCTTTTAGTTCTCAAGAGCCGAAGATCCTGTCCACCCTGATCATGTCGCGGGCAGATCCTGACACTGTGTGTGTCTCCGAGGCTGGCTCGTTAGTTACCGCGGCATGCCTGGCATCGCAGCCTGGCCACGTACAGGTGTTGCTGGAGAAGAAAGCAGACTTGGTCACGTCACCGCCCTTGACGGGCGCATGCACAGTTTCCAGTGCAAGCACGGTGAAGGCATTCTTGGAGGCTCGCTGTGACCCTGGCACTATTTCCCCAAATGGCTACGGACCTATGTACAGTCTGTGCTTCTCTGGCCGTGGCAGTCCGGATGCGCCAGCCATCTTGCAGATGCTCTTGTCCTCACGTGGTGATGCAAATGCGCGAGCCACGCCCCGTGGGCTTCTGTACAAGGAGTGTTTGCGTGCTCGGGTTTCTGCTGCCCTTTGGGGGCTCGAGGGGTGCACTGTCTACCAGCGTCAAATGGCTTCCCTTCCAGGGGCCACGCCTTTGTCTATTGCTGCCGTCATGGGCGACCAGAACCTGGTGAAGCTACTCCTGGAACATAATGCTGAGCCTGTCGCTAACGATCGAGGAGACACGCCGGAAGACTTGGCGAGGGCAGCAGGACATACGGACGTGCTGCCTTTACTGTCCACCTTCTATGTATAGAATCATCAATTAAAGCGGTCGCGCGACCCATATCCTTCCACTGGCAGCGCAGAATGTGCTAGATCAGACTGGGGTTGACATTGCCGTCGGAAAAATCGAGCTGAAGCTCGCTAATGTGTGCAAGCGGAAGGCTCATGGCCCTCCAGCTGACTCTTTACGCCGCAGTTTGCAGTTCTGAGCCTCGCATCTGCTCGGTGGGCTCGCCAGTGTCTGAGTCTGAACCCTGATGGCACTCCGTCATTGCTTTTGCTTGCTTAGCCTGGTCCTGATTGAATCCATACAAAAAGCACAGCATACAAACCTGAGCTGCCTTCTCCTCTCGAAGAAGTCTCGAATCTCTCTTGCCTTCCCGTTTGTCCGACACTACGCGAACTACGGAGCACTGGAGTGTGGCAGCCTTCCAGAATATGGCATATAATATAGTATGCTATATTCTATGATACTCCAAAAGCCACGCCAGAAAATACCTGACGAGGTGTAAAGCTTGCCGGCACTTCGAGCCACCTGTCGTCAGCCCAGTACCGGCGAGGAGGCCTCCAAGGCTGCAAGGTTTAGGGGTTTTAGGGTTGCCCATTGTCTGAAAAGAACAGCCCAAGCAAGCAGCAACTTAAGGTTTGTTGTTTCGGGCTTAGGGTGTACATGGCTTAGGCTTCTTGAACCCTGCGCTATTCAGGTGTCCTTGCTTGTTTTGTTGGTGCAGGGACGTCCTTCCATCAGCGTTGAGGTTTAGGGGTCGTGCTTTTCGCGGGAGTTCCTTTGAAGCCAAGTCTCTCTGCTCAGGCAGGCTTGGTGAGTCCCTCAACCTTCAATCTTCAACGTCAAACCGCGAGGCCTTCCAGAAGCTGCGGAAGCAGCAGCCGAAGAGGCCGCCACGCCAATCCGTTAGTCTCAAAAAGCTTCCAAACGCGAAGGGATCTTGCGATCACTGCTCTTCCCGGAAAGGCCCCAGACCCCAGGCCCAGAGGCGCCATCATCGGACGAGCCCTCGAAGCCCTGACCCCAGGACTCAACACGCTTGGAGGCGCCATCAGATCCGCAAGGTGGACAAGCTGAGATCCGCAGAGCAGTGGGCAAAGCTCACAAAGGGGAAAGAAGAATTTTCCTTCCCCTTCGTGAGCTCTGCCTTCGGCTTTGTTGATCTCATTTTGTCTATTTAAACGACATTCACCGAGCAAGCATCGCTTCCGGGCCCATTTCTCCCGAGTGGGACGGGGTCACAATGTTCGACGCCAAAGATGGACGCAGTCCAGGTGCATCGAATTCAAGGATCACTTTACTGGTACCTGCTCCTGAAGTCGCTGCCCTCGAAGATTGAGGACATCCTGTTAGCCCGGTGCAAGTCTTGCACGTGACCTGCCTGCGGCCTTTGAATCCGCTTGGCTGGCACAACAGCACAGAAAGCTCCAGGGATTCGTGGTCCCAATGCAAGACCATGCAGGGATTGAAACATGCTAGATTGACAGCCGCCGCAACAGCATAGGCGGCGACAAATTAAATGCCGTGTGGATTTAGTGCGGGTGTCATGCACCGCCTTGAAGCGGGTGCCTGAACTGGCAGTTCGAATTTTGGCGCGTTGTAAGCGTGCAGCTCGGTGCAGACCACTTGCAGACCCCACTGGCTTGGGCAAGGACCCGGCAGACACATCGACCGACGCCGAATTAAAGGACAAAGGACTGACCCTCTTGCACCGCAGGAACTACGCCAGCAGTTCCATGGGATCATGGTTAGGGGGGAGCATTGCGGGTTAGGATTTAGGGTTTAGTGCGTCTCATTCCCCTTTTGCAGGCGCTTCCGTGACAACAAGCGTCGGTTCATTCGGATCGTTCTCAAAATCCCCTTTCTGCTTGCTGCACGGGTTACTCCAAGTCTTCTTCGCTAAGACCATGGCATTTTAGGGATTAGGGTTTCGCATCACGCTATGACATGCGTGTTGCGTTGAGATTTTGAATGGGGGCCTCTGCTTCATTGAACACTTTCCGGGGGAAGCGCTTTGGCTCAGAGGCTTCTTTGAAGCTGCTTGGACCTTTCACGCTTCGTTTTCCTCCGACCATGGAAGCCTTGGCGGACGCTTTTTCATGGTTGACATCTTCCTGCCCCTGCCTGAGAAGTCAGCTGTCAAGCACAATCGTGAGAGCTGGCAGCAGTCATGCTTTTGTTGCTATCCATGATGTTGACTGCGAGGGCTTTGCGACATGCACCGGCCAGAAGGCCTATGGGCTCTGGTTGAGACGTTGGTTGAGATGGTTCATGCGTCTATGCTTGGATCAGGCTACGCTCGCGAACCTGAGTTTGCCTGGCGCCTGATGGGGGTCGGCAAAAGGCAGCTGTAGGTGGGTTTCCGCATCAGGTCATCCAGAGCGTGTCGATGCCATCGGAGCCGCCCGACTGCACTTCATGCATAGACCTTGGGCGAGGCCTCCTTGCAGTAGCAGCCCCTCAGGAAGGAAATTCTGGAACTTGTCCTTACTGTAAGGGGGCCTTCCCCACTAAACACTAAACCTGACCAGGACTTGAAGTGATTGCGTTGAAAGAAGAAGCCCTGACACCAGAATGAGGGAAACAGGGTTTTATGGGTCCAAGATACAGCTGGAGCCGAGTCGGATGTCAACCAGCGAGAATGAGGGATGAAGGTATGTCAACCTAGCCCGCCCAAGGCGGCTCTCCGACCCCATGTACTCATGCGATAAAAATTCAAAGCTTCAAGTAAAAAGATGAACCCCGACTCCATTCCAGTGCCAGGGTGATGACACAGCTGTCTCCATTCCTCTCGGCCCCTGGTCGGCACGGCGCGAGGGGTAAAGCGGCCCTCGGGTTTTTCGGATTTATATTATCAGGGTTAAGGTCTAGGGGTTCAGGCTTTGCCGCTTTGGTGGGGTTTAGCCTAAACGGTTAACGGTAGGCTTAAAGATTCCTGTCTTTCGAGGATGCTCTCCCATCCGAGGCCTGAACATGGTTTCGAACCAGGCCTTCATATCATGGAAGCCCCATCAAACATGATGTTGCACAACAGCTGGCTACAGTGGGCTTGCTTTTTCCTAAATCCCCCCTCCCCCGGCACCAGCAAATTCAAAGCCCCCCAGCACCTCATTGCCAAAACCTTAGATCCAGAGCCTGCCTGCAGAGAGGTATAGGATTGCTGGGGCTTCGAGTTCAGAGTTCATTGTTTAAGGTCACGGTTTAGGACTCATGTGATGTTTATGCTGGTTCACGGGTTCGGGTTAGGATTCATTCAAGAACAACGCTGGGGCCATCTGGCGGCCTGACGAGGTGCAAAGCCTGGCGCCACTGCGAGCCACCTGTCGCCAGCCGGCGAGTACTGGCGAGGAGGTCCAATCCTCCCCCGTGGTCGAGATGTGGGAGTTTTCAGAACTTAGGGGTACCTTATGTGGGGTCCTTATAGTAAGGATCCTACTATTTAAATAGGGTACTATTAGGGTCCCCCATTTTCGAAAACTCCCATGTTTCAAGTTTCAAAACCCCAGCCATCAAGTCAGCTGTCCTTGCTTGTGTTCTGGGGACGTCTCGTTTGCCGGGAGGCCTTCTGTTAAGGGTTTAGGGGTCATGTTTGTCCCGTTGGAGTCCTCGTGAGGGGTTGTAGAATGGATTTAATCTTCGAGGATCGAACAGAGAGTGCAACTTGAATGAGGGGCCTCTTTGCTCAGCACGGCTTTGTTCTCGCTGAACCTTCAACCTTAAACCCCAAACCCGGAGGCCTTCCAGCAGCTGCTGAAGCTGCCGGCGAAGAGGCTCGCCGCCCCCCTAAACCCTATAAACCCTAAGCTGCTGAAGCAGAAGGGTTTCCTTAAAAAGTTTGTAAAGAGATGTAAAGAGCAGAGCCCGAGACCCCGAGCCGCCCTCAAAGAAGCCCTGAAGCCGCTAGTCCCGACGGTCCCACGACCCAAGATGCCTGGAGGCGCCATCAGATCCACAGGGTGGAGAACATCCGATCCGCTGAGCAGTGGGCAAAGCTCACGAAGGGGAAGGAAGATTGCAAATGGCATATTGCCAGCAAGCGCCGCTTCATGTGCGATATTTCCGGCGAGTGGGTGCTCTACACCCCGACGGGGTCAATGTTCGACGGCCTGAAGGAGTACCTGCTCTTCACCCAGTTCCTACCTGCAGAGCCCCTGCCCTCGAAGACCGAGGACATCCTGTTCGGCAAATCTTCCAAGTGACCAGCCTGCGGCTTTTGAATCCGCCTGGCACAGCCGCAGAGAAAGAATCCCATCGAAGTCCTCGAGGCCACATGGCTCGAGGCCCCAATGCAAGACCATGCAAGCTTTGAAGCATGGGAGGGAGCGGCAGAATCGGTGTGGATTTAGTGCGGGTGGCATGCACCGCCTTGAAGTGGGGCGTAAAGTAGCATGTTAGCACGCAGCTCGGTGCTCGGTGCAGACCACTTGCAGACCCCAGTGCTTGGGCAATGACCCGGCAGACACATCGACGGACGCCGAATCACAGGGCTTACCCTCTTAGCAGAGCTGAAAAGCCTGGAAGCAGAGCGCACCGGAGGAGTCTTCAACCACTAAAGACTTCAATCCTGCCACCAGGCGTAGGTTCTTCATACTGTTACGTTATGCGGTGTAGGGTTGGATCAATGCCGGTTGTGAGACGCGTGACTGCCGCATCCAGTCCTGCTATGCAGCACCGTGGAACGGACTGCTGGCCTAAATGAGCTGGCAGGCAGCTGAGGGGAGGTGTAAATCTGGCGCGGCATTGAAGATGGAGCAGCCCCGCAAGGCCCAGAGATATGCACTTGTACTCAGCACTTGATTTTCATTTGCAGCATGGTCGTCGTGAAAAGGATGGCCGTTTGCTGGAAACCTTGACCATCATGTGTGCATCCGCAAGCTCTGAAGGTTCTCGGGAGTTTCGTTCTGAGGGTGAATGCTGCGTAGTGTTCCGAAGAATGAAGCGGCCCGTTTACCAACGCGCAATGTCACTGCAGCCACTGAGCTTGAACTGTTCTCATTCTTCATCCGCAGCGATTCTGATCGTTATGTAAGTGCTCAAGGTGTCGGCAGCATGCTAAGACTCTTGGCGAAGACATGCCCGGCCGCTACCCCCCAACCACTGAGCTCATCCCAAACGCCTCGAGACTTGAATGCCCGGATAGACTGCTACAGTAGTCTCAACTCCTTATGCACACAGTTCAGAGGCGTTCCTTGACGATCCCTGGACTGCTGCAGCCCTTAGCTCGTAGCTCCAACTGATCAGTCAACTCCTGACGAGATCGTTCCTGCGTCGGTCCCCCTATGGGTCGCTTCTGCAGAGGGCTCCGCAAAGTTCGGAGGAGCTTGGGATTGTGTCCGGAGTTCAGGTCCTTCTACGGGGCAGCGTGTAGGAGCCAAGATTGCCTCCTGTAGTGTCAGAGAAAGCACGGATCGGTACGGACGAAGTCGTTGCCTAGAGTGAGTTTGGTGATGAGCGGATGCATCGGAGATTATTGACACCCGCTCGCTGAAGCGATAAAGGTGCTCGCTCTGCAGTCATTTGAGTGGACATGCGCGTTCACATCAGGAATTCGGCAAAGTCCCGACGTGGCTCTCTGAAGAGCTGCCGGACACTGAGGTCTGCACCGGTAGTAGCAAGCTTGCCCTTGCTTGCCTGAGGGTTGTAACGTCAGATCTTCGGGCTTCCGAGGAGCAGAATCCATGTCACTGGTCGCGGGCGCGACGCTCCTCAATGGCATCGGCCATTTGGCCCCTCGTCTGAACTCCAGTTCGGAGGGTCGTCTGCAGCTCGCGAAGGAAGATCTGGTCAAATGCATGTTGCAGTGCTGGGACTGCTGCTAGTGATTACAGAAACAACAACTACTGCTACGACTACTACGACTACTACTACTACTACTACTACTACTACTACTACTACTACTACTACTCCTACTACTACTACTACTACTACTACTACTACTACTACTACTGTGCAGAAGCTGCACCAAGGCCAACTTGGGCCAGTTCGTGGAGATCGGCCAAGGGCAAGCTTTCCAGCGCGAGCAGATGCAGTGGGCACGTGGAGCACCGAGCTTGCTGTGCTCAATCCGTAGTTGCTTCGTCTTTCCAGACCCCTCCTCCACCCTGAAACCATCTGACACCGTAAATCATCCCAAAACATCCCAAACCCTTACTAAAGCTCAATACCATCCAATTCCCATCTTGGCAAGTGTGCTAAACTGCTACACCCCAAACTCCCGGCTCCCGACGCCCACTTTGGGTTCTTGTTGGGGAACTTGATCTAAGTTGCCATAATAAGGGAGCCACATTTTGATTATAGATCCCTATCCCAGAGGGTCCATATACACTACTATTATGGGATTAGGCCCTGAAAGACCATCCCCACTATGGCTTTGGGGACCTAATTCCATAATAGTAGTGTATATGCACCCTCTAGGTATTGTGGGAACTTATAACCGCAGGAGCAAGCCTAAAAGTTGCATCAACGACGATGAAACCATGATCCTCAACCCTAAACCCCTTGTGGAACCCTTATGGAACCCCAAATGATGGTAGCTTAAACCAAGTTCCTTAACCAAATTCCACTAGATCCTTATCATGGTACTGGTATTTCAAACAAATTCCTTAAGGTCCTAACCCTTATTCTGGTAACTTAGACTACAATTCCTCAACCCTAAACCCCTTATAATACCATAGATCCCTTAACGGAGCCCTAAGTTATGGCAATGTAGACTAAGTTCCTTCACAAGAGCCCTAAACCCTAAACCCTAAACCCTAAACCCTGAACCCTAAACCCTAAACCCTAAACCCTGAACCCTAAACCCTGAACCCTAAACCCAGACTTTGCCCCTGGCTCTGCGCAGAGGCCGAGCTTACTGCCTCGACTCCCGAGCCCTGAGGCCGGGCTTCGCAAGAGGCCGCAGAATGATAATCGATAGTAGAGAGTAGAGTATTATGATAGAGAATAGATAGTATAATAGTGAGTAGATATTGATGATAGAGAATAGATAGTATAATAGTGAGTAGAGTATTATGATAGAGAATAGATAGTATGATAGAGGATAGATAGTATGATAGGGGTATAGGAAGTATGATAGAGAAGACATAATATCATCAGTACATGAAACATATATAACATGCTAGATAGTTGATAAATAGATAAGTTATCAGATATGATATAACCTTTCGTATCTAACAATGTAGAACATACATATAGCTAAAACTGCATGATCCGTACTATATAGCACGTAGTATGTAATACATAACATATACTGTATTGCATATTGCATATAGACTATTAAATGAAAGTACGAACAAACAAGCACGTAACAACCTGTGTATACATGTCGATATGCCTGCGTTACAGTATGTGAGTGCCTCCAGGATCGATCTCCTCAATGCAGTCAAGGAGGATGTCCGAGACCATCATCAGACATATGCGAGCAGGATTGCTCCTGGGACTCAAGTGGATGGGGGCGGTACCTAACATACTATAGGGGCTTAAAATTAGTCACTAATACTATTGTGGGGGTTCCTTATTGTACGTATAGTAGAATATACCCCCAAACTCTGTTCTGGTTATTAAGGCCCCTATGTCAGAGCCTTCAGAGAAGAAGGCGCAAGGGAGGGTGATGGAGACTCTAAGGACACCCTGCTGCTGGTTCACACACTTCTCCTCACCTTTGCCTTGGCGACGCTCCAGTACTCCGACCAATTCGTGCCGGTGTCAGGCGACGACAGAAGTTGTGTTTGAGGGTGGGTATATTATCTTACTTATGTTGACCCCGTGCCTCATCACGGACCCCTTTCCAATCACGTGTTGATCTCGCCTGTAGAATGATACGGAGGTGTTCGAGCGTGTGCGGGCGTATTAGTGCTGCCTCGCAGCAACAGCAGTCTAGACAGTCACTTCGTGACGCGCTTCATGACACATGACACTTAGTTGCGTGAGTAGCTGGAAGGTCTTGAAGCAGAAACCCAGACCACTGACATCCACTGACTATCCCGCCTCGATTTTTTGTAAAACACAGCCTGCAGTGTAGTAAGTCCTGAATAGATCAAGGGTGTGCTTCGCAACAAGGCCCTAGCAGCAACAGGCTGATGAGACGCAGGTTAGTAGAACGTCTCACCTGCTGCGGCCTTTGAGCTTGTGTCAGGCACCCTAAACCCTAAGCCCTAATCCCAAAACCCTAAACCCTGACTGTCAGGCTGCGTGGAGTGTGAAGAGAACGAACATCCCTGGCTAGTGACATGCTGGGTGCGGCCGCCTCAGCTTTCTGCTACGGCTTTACTCGCCGATGAACCGCGGCTGTGAACCGAGGTACTCGGTGTCGGGAATCCTGATCCTTCCATTTTGGGGCCCCTGGGCTTCGAAATGGCGAAGGTAGAGCCAAGACTTGCGCATGTACCGCGTGTCTTCATGGCGAGAGAAGAAGAGAAAGAGTGAACATAAGTGAATCAGGGATTGAGTGAGCGTTCCGAAGCCGGTGGGTGCTTATGGTCCATATTCTTGTTCGCACCCGAGGCATCGTGATGTTTCCTGGCTGCACGGGGAAAGTCAGTTTGGATTCTTGTGGAAATTCCGAGAAAGGTATTTAATGGCATATAGTTAGTAAATATGTTATATGTAGAATTCGACACAGGCTGATATGGAGCAAGCTCCAGCTGGACCACTGGCTGGAGGCCGGGACGCGGATCGCTGAAGAGCCTTAGCCATTCGTCCCCATCTCGCCCCACGGATAGTAACTATGACTAGTGCTGAGAAGAGACCAATAAAATGTACTAGAATATATTATAATAACAATCGAATATACTATACTGTAATATACTACAATAGAAAATAAAAAATAATGCATGTATGTATATGTATATGTATATGTATATGTATATGTATATGTATATGTATATATATATATATATATGTATATGTACATATATATATATATATCATATCATGTCATGAAACAGAATATGACTTAGAGCGTTCTCTGATCTGAGACATCCATCGGCCGCCTCAACGTGGAGCTTCGCCTGTCCCTGTCTGCCGACTTCAGCCAGGAGCCTGGCGCCCAGAGGCTCACTTCGGTTGATGATATAAATCCTGCATTACCGAAGGACCCTAAACTATGGGAAGTATGGTATATTCCGTTTTGTGGGTAATGCAGGATTTCTACCATCAACCGTTCCTCAGCTTGACACTGGGCTCCCCTATACCATGTCAA